CATTACCCACATCTCAAACTCGTACACCATCTCCCATCCGAGCGTAATCTTGACGCACGCTCGTCGCGTCGTAGACACCTTGCCTTCGTTGATTCCCTGAATGTCAATGCGGCGTCCGTGATCAGGTACATCTCGGAGTCGCAACTACTTGGCAAAGGCGTCAGTGATCACACTAACGTTCGCTCCTGTGTCGAGGAGAATCCTCGTTCGCTGGTCGTTCACTGCGCCTTGCACCAGAGCTCTCATTCTGATCCGTCGGTCGAATTTCTTGGCCGACCACCACCCCTGTCTCTCGCCAGGGTTCAACTTCATCATCTTGGAGTGATACTTGGGCTCGTCTCGCGCTGCACTCGAAACCAAGCCGAGCGAACCCTCGCTGGTGCCCTCATCAGCATCAGCACACTCCACTCTCTCTCCAACACCTCCACCGAGGATTCTACTCCTCTCCTTTTCATTTTCCGTCGCGTTCACACTTGTTACGTAATTATCAGGCCATTCACTCTGCCCCATGAAAGCAAAGATACATTCTGCTTCCATTGAAGGCTCGGTTAACTGTGGCAGCCCGATAGGGACCAACCCAGTTGTAGTTGGCGGGCTGCCTAGTTTAAATGACGTTCTTGAACGACGGCCTTGAGCTCTGGCGGGAGTTCCTCCTTCGTGCCTTTGGTGCGCACAAATTTGGCAAGGTCTTGGAAGTTGCGGAAAAGTTCGCATTGTCCAGCATCGTGGAGTTGTTTGCAGAACTTGCATCGCTTGTTACAGTAGAGGGCGGAGTGACTCATGCCACCGCACACCGCGCATGGTCCGTACTGTGGACGTCGGTTGTCGCGGTTGAAGTCACGTCGACCGCGTTGGTCCTGATTGAACCCACGGTCACCACCTCGGCGATCTTGATTGAAGCCATTATCGCGATCAGGCATGTTTCCACGTGGTTGACGGTTGTCTGAACGTGCGTAGGTGCCTTCAGCAGCTGCACGACGCTCATTTTCGTTAGCCGCGGCGAGGTATCGGTCGTTTTCGTCCAATGAGAAATCACCGTCCGTATTATCAGGCTGAAAGTCGTTGTACTCATCTTGGACATCGTCGTAAGCGTTCGGATCTTCGTTTGAATACTCGGTGCCTCCCTGAGCAGCTTCACGACCTTCTAATTCAGCTAGTAGGTCGTCCACCGTGGCTTCAATGAGTGTCACTCTTGGTTTGATGCGGTTGTCATCGCGGCGACGGTCATCACGCCGGTTGTTGCGGGCGAATCCATCGTCGCGTCGCGTATCACGACGCTTGGAGTATCAGTACTCACTGTCACGCTTGGCCATCCTCTCCTTGCCCTTGAGAACATCTTCGATGATCTCTTCGAGCTCGTGTATGTCGGCGACTCGAGCGTGGTAGAGACTCTCCGCTAGCTTGTCATCGTCGCATGTTGCCAGGAATTGCTGTACCTGTTCTTTCGCGTCGCGACCACTCTTTTCAAAGTGTAGACGGGCGGTCCGAGCGTAGCCATTCAGCCTGTTTATGTAGTCGCACAGATGTTCATTACGTTCCCGCTTGGCGGAGTAGTAACGCGACAGTGCCGTCTGCGTGAACTGCGAGCAGTAGTAGCGGATGAACGCATCGCTCAACAGCTTCCACTTGCGCTTCGTCTTCTTCGGAAGTTGACGGAACCAATGAATGGCTCCGTCCCGGAGACTTAGCTCAAATGGGATGCACCATTTATCGGCATCTGTGTGGGTTCCAGTCCTTTCATAGACGAACCCACGGAGCCACTGCATACAGTTCTCGCTCTTGTTGCGAGAGCCTGAGAACGGCGTGATGCGATCCAGCGGTCGGTGCGAAGCCATTTCAATCCTCGGTGTCGGGTCTACGTCGTTCAGCGTCGCTAGCTCATTCATCTGACGCATCAACTCGAGTTGAGGATCTTCCTCGTCGAATGTACGCACCAAAATGTCATCATCACTGGACGAACCATCGCTGTCGACTTGACGACGTCCGGCACCACCTTTGGAAGCTCGCGCACCGCCTCGGCGACCGAACGAACCCTCGTTACTTGCGTAAACACGTTGCATACGGCTCTCCGAACGTGGCGTAACCATGTGCGAGTCTTGAAAGTACGGTGAAGCTTCGGTAGTGCCAAAGGCACCACGCTCAGCTCCACGCTTGGTCGGAGGAGTACGAACGAGTCGTTGGGGCGTCGGCGGCAGTGGAATCTTAGACGGATCTTCATCTTGAATCATCGGTCGACTCACAGGCTGCTTTCTGGCATTGATGCCAACAGCGCCAAACGCCTTCCGAAGCTTCTTCTTCCATTTCTGGAGAGCAGCTCCGGCTTCATGTGGACTCCAATCCTGGAGCGACATCGTCGATGGGTACGTCTCGTTCTCGAACCCCAGCGACAACAGTAGCGAAACTGAATCCTCGGCAACTTGACTAGTCGAAACCGAGTTGACTGGGTATTGAAGTTCCTGCGCAAGCGCAGGCCAGTCGGCTTTTTTCTGGGGGATGGGCTTGAACAGCTGCATCCACTCATCATTCTGCATCAGCGCTTGTACGCGGTCGAAAACGCGCTTGGCGGCTGGTGTATCACCGTTGATAGGTGGGCGAGGTGCCTTCAGCAGTGCTGAATGCTTTGCACTCGCCACCGAAGGTTTAAAACCCTCGGTCCCATCGTCATAATCATCATAGGCCGGTTCCGGTCCCGCAACATCATCGAGCTCGTCGGCGAGGTTCCTCGAAAGGGACTTGGTCGCCCCGCTCAGCCCCGATGATAGCGTGGCCGTCTCTGGCGTCGCTGCGCCTGGCTCTGGAGCCGGCGTCTTATCTTCGTAATCTTCATAATCGTGGGCGTCAGGACCGATGTCCGCTTCGTCGTCGAAGCTCACTGAAAGCTCGGTGGCGGCTGCAAAGCGCGCAGCCGGGCTTGAACTCTCGTTGCGAGCCCCGCCAGACTTGGCAGGCGTAACTGGTACCGTCGGTTGTTCTTTCGCCATGTTTCTTGTCTTTTTCTTGTTCTTCTTCTCTTGGTAGCTCGTAAACTGGAAGGCCATACAAACAGTTCACAATGGTCACAATCTGTTCCCGGGTCGCGGCAGTTGGAATTCCCACGTGAACTCTAGCTACAAATGTAGTTAGGATGTTCCCACAACAATACGTCTACTAGGATAGTAAACGATCGTTCGGGCGGACCTGAAGACCCCAGTTCTGCCCTTGCACCGGGACAAACTGGACCTTGTAAACTACTTATATAGGCCAGCCAGTAAAATAAGAACACGCTACTAGCACGAGCAAAGCTAGCAGGTGTTTTGAATCCTCGTGGTCCCAACAGCGGAAGGGTACCAGGCACGGGTAAGCCTTTTACGAGATCACCGAGTGTTCAACACTCGGCTGGAAGAAATAAAGGGGAGGCAATGAAAGCACTCCCAGTCGTGCAAATAGGCAACAATAAGCCGTCACGTAAAACCTCCCGATAATAATCGGCCAATACACAAAGTCTCTTGGCCTTGCCGGATGAACCCTCGCTACAGAGCTTCGAGTTCACCGACAGGCATAACACACTCAAACAAGCTTGACCTGACGCTTACCTTGAAGCCGGACGTCGCTCTGTGTGCTTGAGTGGAAATTCTGTTCTGTATTTAAGCTTATTCTTTCGGGTCTATTCCTAATAAGAAGTCCTAATCAAGTATACAAATATCAAGTGAACAATGATCCGTTATGGATCTTCTTGCATGCCAAGCGTCGTCTGCACTGTCGCATGAGCATCTTTAACGGTCCGCGCCCTGTCCCAGACGGGTAACGTGTCTTCCAAAGGTCGCTGAGTATTCCGCGAACTCATCCCAACCGCCACTGAGGGTTCGTACCGTAGATGGTCCGCTGAATGCGAATCCGGCCAGTCCATTATTAATAATAAGGACAGCCTGGATTCAGTGACATAGGGCCGTATCCGATATTTGTTGAAAACTCGGAGGTGACGCCGTCGAGTCCCTTGCACCTTGGCGTCTCCGTACACCACTCGACCGAGGGTTCGTCGCTTGAACAATTTGGGCGGTGTCACGTCTTTGTCGACGGGTGATAATCCGCAACCACGGAGAAATCACTACACCACATTAATCCTATGCTTCTCATACAAATATCTAATGAAATGTAGTCGTTTCGGATCTCTACCGACCCTTCAGCTGAGTTCCGGCGACCGTTGAGCTCAGCGGCTGTCCGGATAGCATATCCGGACAGATCGCCGAGTACTTACCGTGATCCTTGGCTCCTAAGCTCTGGGTTATCAGACCGAGCCGATTCTTGACCTAAAGTAGGTCGGCGTATGGTCGAATCTGGAAATCCCTACACCACAGTTGAACACTCGGTGATCTCGTAAAAGGCTTATCCGTGCCTGGTACCCTTCCGCTGTTGGGACCACGAGGATTCAAAACACCTGCTAGTTTTGCTCGTGCTAGTAGCGTGTTCTTATTTTTACTGGTTGGCCTATATAAGTAGTTTACAAGGTCCAGTTTGTCCCGGTGCAAGGGCAGAACTGGGGTCTTCAGGTCCGCCCGAACGATTGTTTACTATCCTAGTAGACGTATTGTTGTGGGAACGTCCTAACTACGTTTGTAGCTAGAGTTCACGTGGGAATTCCAACACCACAGAGCGAAGTGACCTAAATAAGGTAGATTGTAAGCTGAGTATATTTATAGATAGGTTAAGTTTGGGTTTAATACAAACTACTAGTTACCTATAGAAATGCAATGTCATTTAACCAATGGTTGGCTTTGAACGACCTTGGTACCTTGTACCAAATATCCCGGAGTATGACGTGTCTTACTCCTGAAGTGTGAAGTGTCACACTTCATGTATCCAGGGTACACTTAGGGCTACGTACCCCGTTCTGGTCGAAATGCTCTGACTTCATCGTTCAGTCGCGACCTGTACAGTATTTTCGTCCACTCCCACAAATTCTTCACTTCTTTTCGCCCAATCATCGCTACGTCGTGCTGGACACGTCACATTTCTGAAAATCTCCAGTTGCTTCTCGGCATGGTGCCCAAGGTGTCCAAGGCGTCGTCAACCATGGCCACGGAGCGCCGTGCAGCGCTGATAAAGCTGCTAGTTCAGGGCGTGTTCTTGTTCACAGGCGTGTTCTCCACGTGCATGGCGCAGTTTGTGTTCTACCAGGGCGCAGGCGACCAGAAGGCCATGCTGCTACCTCTCTGCAACTATCTGGGTATGATGCTGGTGGGGCTCCTACCCGCTGTGGGCGCTGCTGCCGCTCAAAAGACGGTGGGGAAGAGAAACGACACGCAGGAGGAGAAACTGGAGGAGCCGACAAGTCCAAGGGAGCAGCAGACGCCAGCCAGAATGTCCCCAGAGGATGACGTGGAGCAGCCAGAGCTCACACCCTCACAGACCGACACATTGACGCCCACCAAGCGTCGCTCAGTTGACCTGGAAATTGTCGACATGGAGCTGACTCGACGTGCCGCTGTAGCCGAAGACGACAACCAGATAGAAGAGGACGAAGACGTTGGTAGTGACGACGAGACGAAACCAGCGCTGGGCTTTCGCGTGACGCCGTCGTCCGTTTCCTTCTCGTTATCCACTGTACAGCTCTGCATCATCGTATCTGTAGTACTGGACTTTGCAGGTTGTATCTTCTCCAACGTGGGCTTGTCCATGGCCGGCAGCGGACTGTACCAGGTCGTGTACTCGAGCGTCATCTGCTGGTCGGCGCTCATGTCCCGCTTTATCCTTAAGAAACTCGTGTCGAAGGAAGAATGGTTTGGTATCGCTCTAGTGACGTTCGGACTGGCGTTTAGCGCTTTGGGAGAGTCAGGGAGCGGACGTGATAACACCATCGTGCTCATGGGCTGCTTTAATACGCTGATTGGAGCGGCATTTTACGGCGGTAACTACGTGACGGGAGAGTACACTCTCAATCTGGCTGAGCGGCCGCATCCGAAGGAATTGTGTCTGAAGATTGGCGCAGCTTGCGTCGCTATCATCGCCATTTACCAGAGTGTCTTCGTGCTACCCGAATGGGACGCACTCGTGACGAGGCCTATAGCTGAAGCCAACGGCAATACGACGTACATTGTGTCTGCTCTAGTGGCGTATACTCTGTCTCAGTTGGCTCACGGACTCACGTACTTTGTGATGCTGGGCTCCAGCGGTGCTGTTACTACGGGCATCATGCAGAGCTTACGCGCCGTGTGCGTCTTCGTGATCAGCTCGATGCTGTATTGCAGTCAGCAGGAGTCGCAGTGCTTCGACACCAAACGCGGTGTCGCCACGCTTATTGTCGTGAGCGGCGTCATGTTTTACTCGTGGGCCAAGAGCCAACAGGGCAAGGCCAGCGTGTTAGCTCCGCCGTCGTCTTTGCGACGACCAAAGAAAGACCCAAAGACCAAGATGGTCGCAGGAAAGAACTACGTCGTCTAGGAGGACAAGGCTCTATCTTATACGAAGTACTGTAGTATTCATTAATTCACAACTTTGTAGTAGTGTTACAGTAAGTTCCTGCTCAAGCAGTTCTTCTAGTCCGCTAGCAAGCTGTCGGTCAGAGACTGCAACTTTTGCAGCCGTAGATTCACATCTTCGGGGGTCAGATGGGTTGCTGTAGTGGCAGCAAGAAGAGCCTTCTTATCTGCATTTCTATCGCCATTTAACGTCGAGATTTCGTTGATACTCATTCGACCGCCGAGAGCTTCATCTTTTGGTTTAATTGGCTTCGTTTGAGACGCCACTGTCCTCTGCTTCGAAGCTGGTATCTCTGTCTGAGTTGCGATGGACTCAGTAGGCGTAGGCTTAGTTGCCGTTGCCAGTTTTTGCTCCTGTTCGCGTAAGGAGCTCAGAATGGTGTTGCGTTCTCTTCTCTGCCGAGCCAGCTCTGCGTCACGTCGACGCACTTTTTCCTCGAGGCTGGCAACACGCTCCGTCTCGTGGGCAAGTAGAGCTTCTTTTTGTCGTGCCAAGTCCCTTTCTAGCTGTCGAATGCGAACTTGCTGCTTGCTGTGGTCAGACTGAAGCAGCGAGTGCGCCAAACGAGCGTCTTGGGTCTCAGTCTGCCAGATATCCTGTTCATGTTGCAGCCGTTCAGCATTTTCAGCCTCCAGCTTCTTCTTCTGCAGCTCAAACTCTTGCTCCTGCGTTGTAAGCTGCTCTCGCAGTCTCCGGATCTCCAGTAGGGTCTCATCACGCGCTAGCTCAGCTACTTCGTGCTGCTTCTGGGTGTTCTGCAGAGCCTCAGCTTGATCGTTTAGCTCTTGTTGAAGCTTTTCTTTTTGGCGGACCAGTTCTCTGGTCTTGGCTTCCCATTCTCGACGAACACTGCGCACTCGATCTCGCAAGTCGTGGGCATCTCGTGCAAGTAAACCCCGAAGTCGTTCACGATCTGCTAGTAGCACCGTATTCTGCTGAACAAGTTCTGCGTGACTCAGAGTCTCTAGCGCCTTGCGGTCTTTGCGTTTCTTCAGCAACTTTGCTTCTATTTGATCTGTTGGCTGGGCAACTGGCGAAGTGAACGGCCAGCTCGGCAACTCGCTGCTTTTAACTGCAGTGCACAGAGAGCATGCTCTAGTTGACTCGGCAAGTTCAGACTCGCCCCCGCCCTCGTTGTCCTCCAACAGTGATGCTATGGAGACAGAACTTTCTGGAATGAAGAATAGCAGAAACTCACCCCATGCGAGCGTACCACCTCCATGGGATAGCCTGCGGATGGCTGCCTCGACATGAGATACGAGCTTCGACAGCTTCTTGGGACCTCCGACAGCTCGAAGCACACCTGGATCTCCTCGCCGTAAAGCTTGAACCAGCTCTTGTGACCGAACTAGGCCAGCGCCATAAGCGTCAAGACGGTGGAACAAAGCGCGTAGTGCTGTCTCTGTTGCTGGTCTCAAAATTTTCCCGTCTGCCGGTGGACGCACCGCTACGTTGGCAATATCACCACCGTTCTCGTTTTTCGTCTCTTGGTTCTGTAGTCTCAGGTTGCGCATCTGCTCCAGTCGATGTGCCCATACTCGTCGTTCTGCCTCCAGTGCAGCCTCACTGTTCCGCAGTCGGGTCTCTCGATGAGTCACCAGCGTCGATGCCAATCCAATTCGTTCCTTGACGTATAATAGTCGTCGCTCGAACGCTTGTAGCCTCGCAGATCCGCTGTGCAGCTGCTCCACTTTATCACGTACTAGACCTCCAGTGAATAGAACCACAGTCTCAGCCAGTTTTTGCAGTTTTTCGCGCTCCAAAGCCATTCCTCGTACTGCCTGCACTGCCTTAGCATTAGCCTGCGCTCGCTGAGCTTCGGCTTGTCGTGTAGCCACCACCTCCAGATCACGCTGAGCTTCAAAATCTGCCGCTCGCTGCTGCCACATCTCGACTTTGTCTTCGCAGCGCCTAAGCTCTTCGCTGGTCTCGGTTTCTTGTCGTCGGTATTCATGAAATTGAGCCTCGTTTACTAGTTTACTTGATTGTGCTTGAACCATGAGAGCGACGCACTTCTCACGCCAAGCTGCGAGTAACCGAGTGTATACAGCTGCAGCAGCTTCAGCTGTGGGCATCGCAACAGAGCCATTTCTACCGGCTACGCTCATTCGGGATCCTGGGTTGCACTCGCCAAACCGAGCTAGCGTGTGCCTCATTGTTCGGTCCTGCACTGATAGTATGGTCTCGAGGGCCTCCACGCGGCTGTTCAACAGCATCTCCCTTGTCTCTGCATCCGACGCACCGACACTGTGATCTTTACCTGTGCCGTTGACACCCTGGTACTGGCTGTAATCAACATCTTGTAAATCTGCGTACTTCGTCCGCGTTTTGTTGAAGTCTCGACGATCCGGCCCCTTAGCGTGACGAAATTCTTCCGGTCTCTTGTGCGTTGAGAACCTAGTAGGCATTACTGGCGATGGAGCCTCCTTCGCTGCTAGCACAAATGGTGATGGCTGCTTTCTCACATCGTCTAGAACGTGCAACTCCACCCTGTGAATCCTGCCAGTCTCCTTTTCCTCCTCTTCCCATTTCCTCGAGTCTCGAATGTCTCCATTTACATCCACTCTCCACGTCGTAGTCACTGGTGACATCGCATTATCATGGTCAGCTCTTCTCTGCGTCTGAAGACTATCTGGTGTCAGTAATCTAGTCGGTGAAGGCAGTGGTGACGGCGTCGGATTTTTTGGAGATGACGCTCGTACTGCACCTCCACCGCCAAGCTGTGTCTTAAGCTGAAGCTTGGCGTACAGCCTCTCAGCAGCTGTTATATCCTGTCCGTCTAGGGTCTGTAGCTGCGGCAGCATAGCCAGCACCTCACGACGGTACGTAGGCGAATCGGACAGCGGGTTCCCATCTAGCGAGAGGTGGCGGAGCTGCGCCAAAGGCTGCAAGAAGCGCAGTTCGCTCACAAATGCCACACGATTAGCGCCGATGTCTAGCGTATGTAGGAGTTTACAGCTGATAACCGGTCGTAGCGACTCCAGCGCATTAGCTCTCAGTCGCAACAGACGCAAATTTGGCAGCCACGTCCCCAGCTCCTCTGGCAACGCCGAGAGGCGGTTGCCACCTAGGTCAAGCTGCGTTAAGGAGCTCGGCAGCAATTGCAGGTGGTGTACATCGCGCAGCGCATTACTGGACAGATTGAGGCTCTGGAGCGCCGGGTAGTCGGCCGCAATCTGCGCCGCCAGCTCAAGTGTAAGCGTCTGGAGCGGCATTCAAGGGCAAAAGGATTTGGCGTTATTAATTTAGCGCTCGCTTGTTATGACTGGCTGAAATGGCGCATTTTTATAAGCTAAACCAATTCAATTGATGATTGGTTGAAACGAAAGGATTGGACTCTGCTTTGACGAATCATATGCTTGATAATAAGCTTGGACGTAACGTATGGCTGCATTAGGAAATCGGAGCTCATCCTGAGCTGCTCAGCTTCAAGATGCGTGAGCGAGTAGGCAGCGGTGGCTCCCGCACGTCCGACGTGGATCCCCGCGAGGAGCTCGAGGAGCTGTTGGAGGTGCGCCTGACCGGGGGCAGCAACGGTAGCAGTAAAATGCTCCTGCCCGTGGTCTCCTCTCACCACCGAAGCGCTGACGATGACGACGATGACAACGACAAAGAAGGGAAGCGCCGGAGGCGAGGCAACATTTCGGACTGGCTGAACCGACTGCGCGCCGCCACATTATCGCGCCTGCTGGTGTCTCCCAGAGGTGCTCGCTCCGTGTGGAAGTGCGTGCTGCTACTGAGCGTGTTAGTACTGCTGGTGATCGGCGGCTCGACGCTGCTGGCATTGGAAGTGGTGGGAAGAATGCGATTTAGCGGATACTTTGTGCCACAGCGTGGTCACAATGGACTGTTGGGCTTCTACCACGAGATGGACGTCGACATGCAGGCACTGAAGGACACAACAGATAGATCGGAGGGGAAACTGTTCCCTGCTTCAGCATTAAACCCAAGAGAAGTAAAAGCGTGGGTGGCTGAGCGCAGGAAACGCACCAACGGGCGCAAATTCTTAGTAGGATGCACTTCACATTGGAAAGGATACGTGTTGCGCTCGTTCCTGTCTCTCTTTGAGGAGCTCAAGACTGAGCATGGGTGGGAAGACCTCGACACATCCAAGGACCCGATGAAAGTGATTTACGACATGGATCGGAAACGCGCCCCCAGCGTCATGCTCTTCTGTCTGAACTCGTTCTACTACCCGATGGCTTTATTGCAGCATTACAGCGCCTACTTCCACGAACTGCGTGCACTGGGCACGATCATCGCAGTATGGAACGACGACTTGCACTACTACGACCAATTTAATCCCATCGTCTTACGTGATGAAATACTGTCAAAGGTAGATGTGATGATTGGCACCTACGCGTACTTCATGGATGACTACTTTGCCAAGATTACTGCGTCAGTGAACGAACGGGACTTGCCATTAACCGTGTGGTTGCCACATTCGTCCGGTCGGGACTTTGTGAACGCCTCCTTCAACGAGTATCCGATTAACAAGATTATTCTGTCAGGCAAGCTAGGCTCGAACTGGTATCCGCTACGACACTGGCTGGGAATTTATCAGCAAGACCATAGGGACATCATGGATGTGTATCAGCATTCCGGTTATTATGTAGCAGACAACCAGTCGGCCATCTACGCGTCGTATCTGCGCTCGTATCGCACGGGCATCACAACAACGTTGATTTTCCAGTACGTCATTGCAAAGATCTTCGAGATTCCTTCAACAGGGACACTGTTGGCTGTAAATCGTGACGTGGCCCCACTGCTGGCTGCACTGGGGATGAACGAGGGCGAGCATTATATTGGATTCGATCGGCGGGACCCAGAGGAGATCGTTTGGTGGGTAAACGACCCTCGCAACTGGCCAGAAATCGATCGGATCCGTCGCGCTGGGATGGAACTTGTACGGGAGAAGCATCTGGTGACGAACCGTGTGAAGGCACTAGATCTGTTCATGATGGAGGGTGAGGCGGTGTACCAGAACCCGCCCGCATTGCACCTTAAAAGTCCGTGCCCGTCCAAGGCGCTGCCAGACGAGCACGAATGCCAGACGAGATTCGATCGCGAGTCGTTCTACAAGTGTGATCGATGGTTCTGCGGTGCGCACTCGATCTTGCACTAAAAGTAACAGTTGTGCTAAAAAAAGTCGAAGAAGTTTTTTGAAATCTCTCATCTACTCGTCTGTTGGCTAAATCTCTCTTTACCAATCATACCTCTGTATTTCTGTCTCGACTTTTGTATTGGGCCCAAGATTGAACTTCCCTCCCACGAGAATTCCGCATTGAGCGCGTCTGATTCCGCATTGGCCCCAAGAGGAGGAAGCATCTGGACGTATGCACTACGAGTACGTGGCCGGACTGGAGGTGACGTATGGAAATGCGCTGGCGGCAGGCGGCGGTTTTCACCGCGTTACGACCGATGAGGGCGTTGCTGCGGAGGTGTCCCCACACACGTATCTCTGGTACAAGCTCTCATCCGAAGCTCCGACTCAGAAAGGATCGCCCCCGTCGTCATCAAATTCTGATTCCGCTCCGTTGGCCATCACGCAGCTACGTATCGGAGACGAGCAGCCGCCTAGCGGCCAAGAAGACGCATGGATCAAGTTGGACAAGTCGGTGGATCGCCAAAAGGGCCGCTTCCTGTGGTATCAGGCCTCGCAGTTCCAGCCTCCGACGTCGCCCTCGGCTCAGAATAAACAACTGATGCCACTCAATGAGATTCGGGTTGTCAGAGACCTCAATGACGCCCCTGATGGCTTCGAGAGTCTCGATGAACCACTACTCAGTGCCGACGACACAGGGAGTAAGTGGTAGTATTACTGTTGTCACTGGTAGTAGTGATTTAATGCGCTAACGCTGTAATTGCTACTGATAGAGGAGCTACGGACGTATCTATGCTATCGGAGACTAAGTAGCGAGGACTTCTCGAGCTCCAAGTGGTCAATTCTGAACCAAAAGGCCGGCAATTGGATCGATGTGAAGGATATTTCTTCCAACAAGTGGAGCGTGGCCCAAATCCTGCAGCATTCGGCATCTGAGATCCGCGTGCATATTCCGACGTGGAAGAAAGGGCGTGATGAGTTTCTGTCGCGCTCGATGTGTCGCAATCGAGTGGCTAAATTGGGGACGCATACGAACGTGTACATGTCTCCAGCCTACCCGTATCCGAGGAAACAGGGAAGTATGTGGAATGCCAATATGAAAGACCTACAACAGGCCCGTGAGCAGTTTGACAAGTACTTTTACGACCGAGAGAAACAGAAAACGTACTTACCGCGGTATCTCATCCCGTTCGTCGAGCGATCGCTGCTCTGTACGTTTCTGTCGAGTGATCTGGCTGAAGAGATGAACGCTTTCCATCAGCATGTGCTGAAGAATGTCATTGCGTGTATGTTGGGCGACGATGCTGGAAATGTGATGGTGTATATGATGTCGTTGTTGCGGATGATCCTCAACGGCCACAGCTCGTGCATGTTCTTCTACATCAAGTACCCTGGAAGCTACACGGCAGCAAAGTATCAACGCCTGGTGTACACGTCGTACCTGGTGAGCCCTGATGCACTGGCAGCCATCCCAACACGCCACCCGTGCCGATCTTTCTACTTCATTGACAATGTCGATTTGTTCGTGCAAGCAGGAGGCTTCCGACTTGTTCTTCAACGTCTTGCAGACCCGGATGTTACGTTGACAGAAATGCTGCTGTACTGCACGATCCTCAATGAAGCGAAGCCTTGCCTCACGCAACAGAAGCGACGTCGTAGCTCGTCTTCGGCTCGGCGTCGGCCGACTACTGAAGCTCAAACGGAAGATTTCTTCCGAGAGTTCTTGAATGCAACTTTCTCGCGGCTACGGCGTATGAGTGGAGAGGAGCTGAAGGACGACGATGGACTCATTGATCATATTGTAGGCGTGTTGGATCTGCTGTGTCGAGACGGGTTACTGCTTGGAAGTCGCATTGCAGAGTCGGATATCGATGAGTCGACGGCCACGGATGGCTCCGCTTTGTCTTCCGACGTGGAATTTGCAGAGCAGATTGAGATTTTCCATTTGAATCTCTCGAAAAGTTTATCTGCTGTCCGTATTTGTCGCAACGGCTGCTGGGTATTTCTCGTATTAACGATCTGATATCCATGGCTCACCGGAAAGATACTTCTTCAGAGGAAGGCTAGCTTGAGTTTGAGG